GCTCTCTCTCTATCTAGACACCGTGCAATCAACCACCAATACCTGTGTTTAGTAGGTACATAACACACGCTCGACATCCACTATAGTTCTTATATTATATATATATATATATATATATATATAGCGTTCGCCGTATTTAAGCGAAACGATATTTCCTACCCATGAGCTTACGCTCGAGTTCGATCAATGGATTAGTCAGTGTATATGTGATAGCAAACAATAACACATGTAAAATCCACGCCACAGGCTTGGCCTAGCATTCATTCAACATCGTTGAAGAGTTGGCAAGAGCGCTGTTGCACCACAAATTGTCGCCTCCTGCACAAATTGTCGTCGGCGACAATTTGTGTTGCTCTTGCCGTTCCCAATTTTTAATCTCACTGGTGACAATTTGTGCAGGCAAAATGAAACCTAACTCCACAAATTGTCACCGCTTGCACAAATTGTCGTCAGTCGCTGTCATTAAGCTACGGAAGATAATCACGATTACAAAGATGATGATGATGATGATGATGATAATAATCAGTGTTGGGGGACTCGAGGCCGGCCTCGGCGTCCATACATACATACATACATGCACGTACGTACGCACGCACGCACGCGCACACGCACACGCACACCCTCCACACACACCCCTTCACACACACCCACACCACACACACCCACGTACCACGTGTGAACACACACACACACGCATGGGTTCATCCGGCAGTAACATGGGTCCATCACGCAGTAACACGGGTGCAACTATAACTAGCCTTAGTCCAATAGACAGCAACATGGGTCCATCGGGCAGTAACATGGGTCCATCAGGCAGTAACATGGTTACATCAGGCAGTAACATGGGTCCATCAGGCAGTAAAACGGGTTCATCAGGCAGTAACAAGGGTCCATCAGGCAGTAACACGGGTGCAACTATAACTATCATTAGTGGTTACATATATATATATATATATCCACACACACACACGCACGCACGCACACACCGCACCGCACGCACGCACGCACACACACACACACACACACACACCACACACACACACACACACACACACACACACACACACACATCATATATATATATATATATTAAGAGTACATAATGGGTGATGTACAATCCTCTATGGATAGTAGTTGAGATTTCATTAGGATTTTCTCGATAGAGGGCGTTGCTTGTTGATTTCAATAAAACAAGCGGGGGCTTTTTTAGAACAAAGGAAATGCAAGGTTTCTGGTGCTTGTGGAGTAATCGGCGTTTTGTTGTGCGATATGGGAGAAATAAAGGTAAATATTGTTAGGTGAATATAATTAAGGACAGACAGAGTATGCTAGAATTCACACACTGAAACGAACATTGGAGAAACTGTATAAGACTCTTCTACTCTGTTATGTGAAGCCAGCATCATTGAATAAAGGGGCCCTGATGGATGTTGCCTTTATGTCAAGCTACAACATCAAAGCTTCTAAAGATGTTATGATTGGGACTCAGGCTAAAAGCTTCATCACTTCATCTGGACTGGAAGTTCAGTAGTTCAGCAATTCTACAAGGACGTCATATCCTTCTATCAAACTGCTTGCCAGTACATACAACAAAATATGAACCCAGCTAAGGAGCCCATGTGGAGACATGCAGAAGTTGCAGACATGTCCCTAAGAGACAGAGTTAGCTTTTCCTCAATTGAGTACTTTGTGGAGAGATTCCCCTGCATACAACCCGAAGGTTCCTCTCTGGATGAAATTCAAATGGAATTCTTGACCTACCAAGCGGACACATCAGACCAATTGGAATCTTCTGAAGCAGATGAGCAGTGGCAAAAGCTGGCAATGGTCAAGGACATTGATGGTGCAGTAAAATTCAAATATTTGCCTGCAGTAATGAGGTCAATCTTACTGATCCCTGTTAGTAATGCGTCATGTGAGCGTATTTTCAGTCTCGTTCGAAAGAACAAAACAGACTTTAGGTCATGTATGGGAAACAAAACTCTGGAGTCTGTTCTGATAATGAAAGCACATGGTGGTGTATGTCATTCCACAAATCTGTCCGACAAACTTCTGAAGAAGTGCAAGTCATCCACTTACCATTCACTTACATCACAGTGATGTACCTTCAGACAGTGAGACCAGTGTGCATCAATGGCTGGTAAGTCATAAGACTATCAGTGTGTGTGTGTGTGTGTGCGTGCGCGTGGAAAAGGTTCAGCAAGCACAAAGAAGAATCTATTAAGGTTGATAATGATAGTAATAATGACAATGTGTCTACTGATTCCAATGAGAATGCATCTGTAGCGAGCGGTAATAACGGTGTAACGGACTGGGGTAGCTTGTTTCAGGCTTTGTCCTTACCCAAGGCGCAGATTACAATGTTTGAAGGGAATCCTTTGAAGTACCATTCTTTCATCATGTCATTTCAGAGCATGGTTGCGAATATCCCGAATGACAGTATTAAGTTAAATAACCTAATATCTTCATGTAAGGGTAATGCACGGGATGCCATTGAGTTCTGTGTCATGAAGCCTCCTGAGGAAGGATACGCAGCTGCTCTGGGTGCACTGAGATCAAGATTTGGTAGTAATGTGGTTGTTAGCCAGGCCTGGATCAGCAAGGTCATAGATAGGGAAAGTGTAAGCGTAACTAATTTGAGCGGATACGCTGCCGACTTGGAGAACTGTCTGCAGTCACTGGAAGCTTTAGGCTATTTGAATGAGCTCGATAACCAGGCCAGTCTGAGGCAGATTGTGTCTAAGTTGCCTAAGTTTCTTCAAAATAGATGGAGAACAGAAAATCAAAGGATTAAAGAAAGAGGTCGCGAGTCTTCGGCAAATCTGGCAGCCGCAGCTTCAGTGCATGTTGCGAGAGAAGATTCCGGGCGAGTTGCCAGACTGGCTGATTTAGTTAGATTCATCAAGCGGGCTGCTGATGAGGTTGAAGATCCAGTCTTTGGAGATGTCGGTGTCAGTAAGGCCTCTGAGAGAGCGAGGTTAAGTAAACCGTCTGAGAGAATGAGACCGAGTAGGCAATATGATAAGATGCTTGTAAACCAGGCTGCGTTCACACAAGGCGTATCCAAGCCTCCAAGATGTTGGGTTTGCAAGAACAATCAGCACTGGACGGACCAGTGCACTCTGTTCGAGAATGCCTCGCCGCCTGAAAGGAGGAAGATGTGCTATGACAACTATGCCTGTTACTCTTGTCTAAAGGTAGCTGGGCGAGGGCACAGGGAGTCCACCTGCTCTAAGAGGAAGGCTTGTGGTGAAACAACAGCTAACGGGGCATGTAAGGAATTCCACCACAAGCTCCTGCACGTGAGGAAGGAGGTTGGACAAATAGGGAATCTCAACATGTCGAAGAATAAGGACCCTATGTTGAGCATCTTGGATGTTGAGGTGTTAACGAAAGGTAGAAAGGAAGTGTCCAGCGTCTTACTTGATAAAGGTTCCCAGGGAACTCTGATCAGTAAAGATTTTGCAAGAAAGCTGAACTTGAAGGGCAAAGCGGTAGCTGCAATTATAACGAAGGTTGGTGGAATTGAAGAAGAGTTTCAATCAACACTCTATGAGCTAACGCTGCGAGGTGAAGACAGCATGACTCACCGCATTTCAGCTTTGGAAATAGGACACATCAACGATGTAAGAGAGGTCGACGTAAAGCAAATGGAGCGACTATTCAAGATGAAGCCTGGCACACTGAAAAGAAGAGGTGGACCAATAGATATTCTGATTGGTGTGAACTATGCACATTTGCTTGCAGGTGAAGAATCTGAGTTGAACGGTATTGTCGCCCAGAGAACTCCTCTAGGATGGACAGTGTATGGAGGGGAAGAGACCACGACAGCTAATCAGGTTATGCATATGCAGATCAAGAAGCCAGTCGACCTGGATGACTTTTGGAACACTGAAGCACTAGGGGTGGACATAGGACCTTGCGACTGCAAGTCCTTGGAAAGGGCCACTGAGAAGCTGGAGGGCAAAATTATCAGGGAGTCTTGTACCAAAGTCGGTAATCAATGGATGGTTCCTTACCCTTGGGCTAAGGATCCGTGTGATCTGGAGGATAACCGGTATCAGGCTAAGAAGATTCTAGTTGGACTAGAGAAGAGGCTGCTAAGAAACAAAGGGCAGGCAGAGGCTTATGACAAGCAGATGCAAGAAATGGTAGAGATGGGATTTTCGCGCAAGTTGACGCCAGAAGAGGTCGATAGTTATCAAGGCCCTGTTCACTATATTCCTCACCATTCAGTTGCGAAAAGGGATAGCTCCAGTACGCCCTTGAGGATTGTCTTTAATGCATCTAACAGATACAATGGCAAATGCATTAATGATTGCTGGATGAAGGGACCGGATTTGTTGTGCAGCTTATTTGGTGTCATCTTAAGGTTTAGGGAGAACCAGGTAGCATTGGTTGGCGATATCTCTAAGATGTATCACAGGATATTGATACCTACAATCGATCAGCATGTGCATGGATATTTGTGGAGAGATCTAGATGTCGATAGAGAACCAGATGTGTACGTCAAACATGTGTTGTCGTTTTGGGATAAGCATGCTGGAACCATGGCAATCACTGCACTGAGGCTGACAGCGGATGAAGGTCGAGAGGAATACCCGCGAGCTGCGGAGGTGATAGAAGCCAACACTTACATGGACGACATGTGTCCGTCTGTTAAGTCGGAAGCAGAAGCAACACTGGTGCAAGAGGTTGATAGACTGCTAGCCTTAGGTGGGTTCGAGGTTAAAGCGTGGTCCTCGAATATAGATCTTGAAGGTACGAAGTGTGAAGTAGTTGATAAGCTTGAAGTTGCAAGACCGGAGTTGTTTGGTAAACAGATGGTTGAAGTAGGACATAGATCGGAACAGAAGGTGATAGGTGTTTGTTGGAACCCGAATGATGACACTTTCGTGTTTANACGAAGGCTTTGCATTTGGAGTTGTTGGACAGTATGTCTAGCGACGCATTCCTGATGGCTTTCAGGAGATTTGTTGCGAGGAAGGGTCTGCCTAAGGAGTTATGGTCTGACTGTGGGACAAATTTTGTAGGGGCGGAATCTGAGTTATCGGAGTGTTTTGAGCTGATGAGCACAGAGCTTCAAGAGAAGTTGGCAAGGCAGCAGGTTGAATTTAAGTTCATTCCACCAGGTGCTCCACACTTCGGAGGCCTCTGGGAGAGAGAAGTCAGATCGGTCAAGCATGCAATCATGTGCTGCTTAAAGGATAGGGTCGTGACAGAAGTCTTGCTGCAGACAGTGCTTTGTGAGGTAGAAGGTTTGATGAATTCAAAACCTTTAGGTTACGCATCGTCAGATGTCGCTGACGTTGATCCGATAACACCGAACATGTTGCTAATGGGTAGACGGGACTCATCATTACCCCCCGTAGCGTTCAATCAGGGAGAGGAACTTCGCAGTAGGAAGCAATGGAGACATGTGCAGTTGATCGTAGATTTATTTTGGAAGAAGTTCGTGTCAGAATATTTGCCTAGCCAGCAAATCAGAAGGAAGTGGACTAAGGAAACAGAGAACCTGAGAAAGGGTGACCAGGTGTTAGTGATTGATAATCATGCACAGCGAGGTGAATGGTCGGTCGGTGAGATAGTCGATGCTCATCCAAGTGAAGATGGGAGAGTGAGAACGGCTGAGGTTAAGGTCAACCAGAAAATATATAGGCGACCGGTGGTGAAGTTGATTAAACTGAGTAAAATGAGTCAGTGAGTTCAGTAGTATGTGGTAATAGGGCGGGAAGTGAGTGCCCCCTCTATAGTTTTTGTAGGCCAATGTATAATAGGTTTGGCATATGGTTGTATTTGTAGGTTTTTGTACTTAATTAAGGTTTAATGAGATTTCCTCATTGGCGGGGGAATGTACAATCCTCTATGGATAGTAGTTGAGATTTCATTAGGATTTTCTCCGATAGAGGGCGTTGCTGTTGATTTCGATAAAACAAGCGGTGCTTTTGTTAGAACAAAGGAAAGCAAGGTTTCTGGTGTCTGGGGAGTAATCGGCGTTTTGTTGCGATATGTGGAGAATATAAAGGTAAATATTGTTAGGTGAATATGATTAAGGTGTAGCGTTTATAGGTGATCGTTAGTGTAATGTTATCTAGTCGTGTAATAGCTTGATTATGTACTTTGTATGTTCAGAGATGCTGGTTTCTGTGGCTATGATTAGAAATGGGTTAATTGTTGCTGGTTTGAAGCGAGTGTGGTAGTATAGAGAGCCGTTGAGATCAATGATGTATATGTTAATCAAGATTGTTGATGAATGTGGTTTTTATGATGTTGTGTTAGATTATGAGCTTGTGGTAATTCGAAGTCAGGAATCCTGTGTTGTATTGATATGTATGTACGCAGGTAGCATTGTAATCGGCTAGCTGATATTGTGAATTACATTTTTTGTATTTAACATTTGTTGTTCAGGTTGTAAGGCTGTTCTGTTCACGGAGCTGGTGTTTAAGAGATCCGGCGGAACAGTAAGTTAGCATCTACTATGATTCAGGCATAATTAGCAATTTGCATAATTCCGATTAGGTCATTTATGGTGTTTATGAATATGAGAATTGTTAGCACGCTCATATATTAAAGACATGTATGATGTATGTATTTGGTTTTTGCAGAATTGAATGCTAACTAGCTACCGTTGATACGGTTGGTACGTTAATAAAGCATCTCAATCAAAGTCGGATTCTCTTGGTGTATTCGTCGACTCTTGTAGTCAAGTCTCATCTTTCCGCACAATAGTACTATATTATCAAGAGCTAATAATACCTCTAGGTATTATTAGCTCTTGATATTATATATATATATGTCATAATATAAAATATAATATCACGCACGCACGCACGCACGCACGCACGCACACACACACAGACACACGCACACACACACATATATATATATATATATATGTGCATGCAGCTACGTTACGTATACGTACGGGACAGATNCAGGAAGAAGACGAAGAGAGAGTGATCGATGACGTAAGGAATCGTTACCTTAAAGTAAGGTTGATAATGAAAGTAATAATGACAATGTGTCTACTAATTCCAATGAGAATGCATCTGTAGCGAGCGGTAATACCGGTGTAACGGACTGGGGTGGCTTGTTTCAGGCTTTGTCCTTACCCAAGGCGCAGATTACAATGTTTGAAGGGGATCCTTTGAAGTACCATTCTTTTATCATGTAATTTCAGAGCATGGTTGCGAATATCCCGAATGACAGTATTAAGTTGAATAATCTAATCTCTTCATGTAAGGGTAATGCACGGGATGCCATCGAGTTCTGTGTTATGAAGCCTCCTGAGGAAGGATACGCAGCTGCTCTGGGCGCGCTGAGATCAAGATTTGGTAGTAATGTGGTTGTTAGCCAGGCTTGGATCAGCAAGGTCATAGATAGGGAAAGTGTAAGCATAACTAATTTGAGCGGATATGCTGCCGACTGAGAACTGTCTGCAATCACTGGAAGCTTTAGGCTATTTGAATGAGCTCAATAACCAGGCCAGTCTGAGGCAGATTGTGTCTAAGTTGCCTAAGTTTCTTCAAAATAGATGGAATACAGAAAATCAAAGGATTAAAGAAAGAGGTCGCGAGTCTTCGGCAAATCAGACAGCCGAAGCTTCAGTGCGTGTTGCGAGAGAAGATTCCGGGCGAGTTGCCAGACTGGCTGATTTTGTTAGATTCATCAAGCGGGCTGTTGATGAAGTTGAAGATCCAGTCTTTGGAGATGTCGGTGTCAGTAAGCCCTCTGAGAGAGCGAGGTTAAGTAAACCGTCTGAGAGAATGAGACCGAGTAGGCAATATGATAAGATGCTTGTAAACCAGGCTGCGTTCACACAAGGTGTATCCAAGCCTCCAAGATGTTGGGTTTGCAAGAACAATCAGCACTGCACGGACCAGTGCACTCTGTTCGAGAATGCCTCGCCGCCTGAAAGGAGGAAGATGTGCTATGACAATTATGCCTGTTACTCTTGTCTAAAGGTAGCTGGGCGAGGGCACAGGGAGTCCACCTGCTCTAAGAGGAAGGCTTGTCGTGAAACAACATCTAACGGGGCATGTAAGGAATTTCACCACAAGCTCCTGCACGTGAGGAAGGAGGTTGGACAAATAGGGAATCTCAACATGGCGAAGAATAAGGACCCTATGTTGAGCGTCTTGGATGTTGAGGTGTTAACGAAAGGTAGAAAGGAAGTGTCCAGCGTCTTGCTTGATAAAGGTTCCCAGGGAACTCCGATCAGTAAAGATTTTGCAAGGAAGCTGAACTTGAAGGGCAAAGCGGTAGCTGCAATTAGAACGAAGGTTGGTGGAATTGAAGAAGAGTTTCAATCAACACTCTATGAGCTAACGCAGCGAGGTAAAGACAGCATGACTCACCGCATTTTAGCTTTGGAAATAGGACACATCAACGATGTAAGAGAGGTTGACGTAAAGCAAATGGAGCAATTATTCAAGATGAATCCAGGCACACTGAAAAGAAGAGGTGGACCAATAGATATTCTGATTGGTGTAAACTATGCACATTTGCTTGCAGGTGAAGAATCTGAGTCGAACGGTATTGTCGCCCAGAGAACTCCTCTAAGATGGACAGTGTATGGAGGGCAAGAGGCCACGGCAGCTAATCAGGTAATGTGTAATGAAGATAATATTACCAAGAGGGAAAGTTGATTACAACAAACTAATTAAAGGCATAATTCGACCATTGATTATGCAATTTTAACGAATGCTACAGTAACTGGCACCTTGTGTAGTTAATAAG